AGGCCCACCCGGCGGGGCTCCGGATCCAACAAGGGCTACTAGCCAGCCAGCCGTCCTTGTGCAGAATGCGACACTAAAACTACAGGGCCCAGTAAGGAACTACACAGTCCATACAGACGAAGCTTCCTTTTGGAAACAAGTTTCCATGATAGGCTTCATCGCCACTAACAATATCGACGTCAACAATCAAAGAAACAGACAGTCAAAGCAGTTTTTTCGGTTTAAACACCTTACGCAAGCAGCCGTAGCTCCGTCAACTAGTTCGAAAAGTAACTTATATCGTGGGGAAGTGAAAAAGGTCTTCGGAGGAACGAAAGGTATCGCGGGCTTTTAGCACGAAATTGTTACTCAACTCAGAACGACGTATGTGAAGAGATTAAAAGAACTCAGCACCTTCCTTAAACAAGCTTTTAATGGCCTCATTTACTGATCCTCGGTAACGGCCAGATCTTTGCACTCGCATAGTTTTGAGCCAGCTACTGTTATATGCGACCGATGTAGGCCGCAAAAATGTCGCTGGAATACCGGTTTTCAAGGATGGAACTATTCACAAAATACACAATCGGTGACATAGCTCATGGGACATTAACTGAAATCCAGAAACAACGGTTTTGTCAGGAAGGACGATCTGTGTGGAGCTGTAACAGTGACCACAATGCAGCACACTCTTGAGATAGCTCAGTCATGCTAGGACGTCAGCGTCAGAATCACGCTCGCTACGAAATGACTACTTAGGCAGTATTCTTTTTGTCATTGGCGCTAGATGCCCTCATAAATCCAAACATCCTTTAAGTAACGCGTGCAACAAGATGCCCTGCCTTGTATCGTTCTACAGCCTTCCATTTTTTAGTTGAATAGCCAATAACCTCAGTTTAACCCTAACCCTAGCCATAACTGGGGGAACTTAGATAAAGGACTTCGTTCGTGTCGTTTTGTTTCAAATGTTTGAACGGGTACTGCGTTCAGGTAACTAAAAACGGCAGCATATTTACTATAAAATACTTGAGCAACATGACACATTAGCTGTATAACAGTTGTTAGCTGTTAACAGCAATGTTTCTAATTTTAAGCAAGAAAAAGTCTTCCAGAAAGAAGCATTTGTATAGACAATTGCATTTTGTTTTAAGTTGAAAAAAGTGCCGATTCAATTTTGTCGTGGGTAGCATGCACTCTCTGAAACAGGAAGGCCTAAAAGTGTTGCTTTGGACATAGAATGGACTTTCAGGAAAGCCAGAAAAATTTTCATGACAACGTGAATCGATCACGATCCACAGCAAATGATTAAGGAAACTTCAGTGGTCTTCAAAGGCTTTGCTATTATCCTAAATATATTGAACTATTAGTTTGCATGCATTGGCAATGGTACCACAACAGTAAATGTTGATGTCACGTGACGTTCCCTATTGGCAACAGGAAAAGCTTGAAACTATTTGTGAGATAACATTGTCAAGAGACTCATTTTTACTTCCAAATCGGGACTAAAGAGCAATAAGTGAATTTGCCGCAATGATCCTAGACGTAAAAAATTTCAACGACGCCTGACCAACCGTCAACATAAATGCCAAAGTAGGATATTCCCGGAAGTTAGATTACGTCGCGTACCTTGCGTAACCAAAAAAGAGTACTGTATTATGAGGTGCTGACGCCATCTTGAAGTGATACTGCTGCTCAATTTGAGTGGAGCACCGAGCACAAAAAGACCAGAATACGATACAAGACATGATACGTTGATTTGACAACATGACGGCACCGTTTGGCACGACGAATAAGGGAAACCTTGGAAACCCTTCGCTGAGAACTCTTATCCTATCACCTGTATTTATCAGGTATGGCTCCGCCAGATTATCGCCTGCTTCGGTCAGAGAATGATTACCTTACTAAAGAAGTTAAGAAATGGCCAAATCAAATGATTGCCAAGCCTATTTGTTACCAAGAGGGTTGGGACAGGTGGTAGTTGTTAACGGACAATACTTGGAATCAAATAGCATGTATCGGTACAGTGGAGCCTCCGCTAACGAATTTAACCCGTTACGACACCGAGCTCTTCATGTGAAATACGCGTCTTGCGAAACGAATATCCCCACTTAAAATAGTGGAAATAAAATCACTCCGTTCAAGGCCCGAAAAACACCTATATGACATTATATGATTATAGTATAGTGTTATAGTAATTATAGTATATTTCAGTATTGTTTTTTTTTACTGTTTTCAATTGAACTTTGCCTTATAAAAAGTCGTTGCTGGTTTGAGCGAGAGGATGGAGAGACGGGAACGAGAGGAATTGCGATGTGGAAGGAGAATCCACCTCTGAGTCAAGTTGGCTCATGGCAAATCAAATTGCATCAGTTCACTGATTGGCTACAGGCGACCGAGGACGCACGCCCTGAATGTAAGACCCAACGGCAGACAGAGACAAACACACACACACACACACACACACACGCACTGACCATTAATTAACGGAGAGGGAGCACGTCAATCGACACAAATTTTCTGCGAGTGGCTCGCTAGTTACCTGAAATGCCCGTAAATAGGGTTGCTAGTGAACCGAGGCTGCATTGTACTTCTAGGTAAGCTTTGTTTTCCTTTGATTCAATCGTGGAAAAAAAATGGCGGCCTCTGTGGAATTCGAACCCCGTGACAGTAGGGATAAGGCTAGAGTACAGCTGACACTTTAATCATCTGAGCAACGAGGCCCCATCGGAAGCCGTGAGTTTAATCACACTTGGGTCAAGTCACATTTAGCCTATGGCAACGTATGGAATCCACCACTTCTGACAAAGAATGCTGACTGCCTAAGCAGGATTTCCACAGCGATTATTTTCACAATTTGGTCAAAATCCACAACTTTTGCGAACTGAAATGCAGTAGATAGTTTTAAGACGAGGTCGTTCATTTTACAGTGAGCGCAATAAATGATACTTGTGCGCATGCTTCCAATAGAGTATGTTTGGGTTTAGAAGAAAAAAGTTAATGGGTAAAAATGAATAATATATAATCAGCCATTTTGTGGCGCTCGAGATTTTTTTCGGAAGGTGTGCTTTTGACAGCTAGCATTCTAGTCTGAAAGACACGCCTTTAGATAACCCCTTCTAACCGAGACATTATTTCAGAAGCTCAGGCAATTTTTCGTGACACGCACGTCATCTACCACATATCCTGCATGCAGCGATGTCAGAATTGACATGAGTGTATGCAATAAAAGACTGCATCAAGCTAAAATAAGACAAGCAACTTTATTGAGCAATTACTCACTTTTGCTGCCTTAAATATCATCTCCCGTTCAAGTTCGCTCTTTCGGTTTTTGTCGTGTTCGTCAAGTTTTACAAGAAAAGCCATCTGATCACGCGCAAAGTCAGTCTGAGTGAGATGCGGGTCGTTGGCGAGGCGAAGGGTCTTATGGCCCATAACAATGGAGAGTCGGGTGAGGATTGAGCGTAAAAAGTTTTCCAGACCGTGGGCTATACAAGTGTAGGCCTCATCGCTAATTGTAACCTGTGAGTTGTTGAGACGCTGGGCCAGATGCGATTTGAGCTGAGATACGGGGAAAAAGGGTTGGTTGAGAGAAGACTGCAGGGCTGATGTTGCTGATTTTGTCGCAGTCACGGTGGAGGAGGAGGAGGTGGGGGCAATGGTGGATAAAGAGGACTGAGGAGCAAGGCTAGGCCGAGTAACAGTACCAAAGACAGTTGCTCTGGTAAAGGTCGGTTGTTGAGTGGAGGCGATAGACGCAATGGGTACCGGTCGCATCCGAATTGCCTGCACCATCGGCGTCGTTGCGGCCACAGTGGACGTGG